TAACTATGGCTTGAATGACACAACTAAAAATGAACGACCCAATGTCACGGACTAGCCCTTGTAAGACTTGTGCCACCGAGGTACACAGGTCGAGAGGAGACCAAGGCCAACACTGCTTCTGGTTAATAAAAACGGGAATGCCAGGCCCAAAGCAGAGTCCTGATCACAACTTCCTCCAAGCATCAGCATTCAGGCACCCAAAAGGCTGCTCTGGTTTGAAGCCCTGAGATGATTGCAACAGTATTCATTTGCCCTGAGAACAGAAGGATTAAAATCCCTTAAATGCAGAGTTTATGATCTTTTACATTTTTATTGGACAACTACAGGAGTGTCCAGAAGAGGGGAAAGAAAAGAGGAAGACAAGTTCAAGAACGCTGACGCTGGTAGAGAGGCGAGGGAGCACATTTACCACCAGGTCGGCAAGTTCTCCGCAGCTAGAGTCAGTCTGTCTTTACAAAAGTATTGGTTTAAGCCGCACATGTGACAGGAATATCACCAGGGAAATAAGCAAGCCTTATCTCAGCATCTGAAATAGAAAATATGTAAGAGAGGCCTCCCCAGGCTCAGGAAAAGAATCTTTTTTTTTGCAGGCGTTTCTTAACATACGCGTTACACAGTATTTATATAACACATTTTGCAAATAGCTCACTGCAATAACTATGCCAAGTCCATAATTTTGTATTTTCCTGGTTGTTAATTACATTTTTATGCCCATGTTAAAAATGAAAACGAGTGACAGCGGTTATAAAACAACTCTAGATTATTTTTATTCGCCTCCTTGAATAGCCAATTACTTCAGCACAAACTGGAAAAGCAAAATGCAGCTTTCCCGAGATCTTTGATCAATCTCCCACTGATGGCTGCTTTTTCCACTTCTTCATTCAGGTTAATTCTTCCACCTACTCCTTTCTGTCCATGACAGAAAAGTAAGTACCAATATTTACCAGTTCTTGGTAAATCCTTACCAGTAAGAGCCAATACTTGCATGGGAAACGGCGGTTGTGCATGGGGAGGGACCTCAGCGGGCCCAGCGTAGCAGCACGAGTGTCTTCTGAACGCGGAACGTGCACGTAGCGAGGGGAAGCCCATTCTAAATTTTCCCAAATTTATGAAAACATCAAACCCCAACTGCCTGGTGGGAAGCAAATACAACTTCTAGGGAATGGGTGTAGCACAAAAACAGAGGACTTCTAATGCTTGCAATGGAACCAGTGACTTGACAATTTTTCTGCGCAGAACATTTTTTCCCTGAAGTTTTTATGTGGCACCAAATGAACTGTTTAAACTCCCCAACCCACACTGTCTCTAAGTAAGTGCACTTTCCAAACATTAAACTGCTGATGTGTGTATTTTAGCTGCATGCAAAATTTTACTCAAGAGTAAACAAAACATTTGCAATGATAAAAAGGACATTCCTGTTGTCCCCCCAAACACAATATAGAGCCAAAGCTATAATTTCAAACAGTCACAGAGCTGCTTTTGACAAATATATTGGCTATCATCTGATTGCTTCACTTATATTCCTGCACGAATATTAACTTTTTTTTTCCCCTATACTAACAGTTTTCACTGAATATAATTATACCGCATACACTTTATTATTATTAATATTGGTCTAGGAAATACAGAAAGTAAAGGAAAATAACTTCTTAAGCACTGTCTAAAAGCTCAGATAAGGTTCGGTCTTAGCAAACCACCAGGAAGGCCCTCCTCCCCACAGATAACCTACGTATCTCCCCCATATCGTGTTTTTGTTTGTTTTTCCCTAAGATATACTCCATTCAGTTTGTTACCTAAATAGAAAGCGATTTTGGGTGGTAACAATAAAAGCAATTACGTCATCCCAGCTTGTTTCAGACTCCCTGTGCTGGTACCGGGGATGCTGCTCATGACCCTCAGGGTCCCCAGTGCCACCAATCCACCACAGAATCCCATTACAGTCACTTGCTTATTTTGTAACACGATTCAAAGAAAATAAGATTTTGAAGGGCATCACAATTTCCTAAGCTGAGGGAAAGTGTACATTTAAGAAACATACAGACGTGGTTGAAAACTACAAGTCTCTGTTATGGATGGTCTCCAATGAAAAAAATCCTGTTCCAAATATAACATGTAATTACCACCCAGCCACTTAAAATATTTATCTGCAAATCTGAGGAGGGGTTCTTTGTTTATTTTTATTATCTTAAGACTTTTTAATTACTGTTTTGGCATCCAAGAATTCCAACAGTCGGTGAGGTAGTGCCAAAAAGATCTCCCCTTTGCAAGGTGCTCGGCACCCTCCCTTCCAAGAAAATCAGCAGCAAGCTGCAGGTTTTGACAGCGTTTCACATCATTTTTGCTCCATATCTCCTTATACATAAAAATCAGAATAAAAGCCTTTCAACAGCTGAATAATACGTTGCTAACTAGGAGGACAGGTCCACAGTCTATTCTATACACAGGGTCCCTATATCTATATACAGTGGGCTGGCAGGAGCCACCTCCTCCTCGCATGGGCCTTGGGAAAGCTGGAGCTGCCCATGGCAAACACCGGGCAGAGTTACAGCACCTGCGATGGGGCAAGCACAGTGCTAGCGCTGCCGCTTATCTTTCACCAACATGTTAGTTGTGGATTCACTAGACTTGCTTCTCAACTGCATGGCCTGTGAATGGGCTCCTAAATATTTTATTTAAGAAAAAATAGAGAAAATATTTATATATATATTAAAAAAAAGGAAAAAGGGCTGCTCATTTTGCGTTTTGAAAGGCAGGGAATATCCTAAAACGCATTTCGACAGCGTGGCTGGCATTGCACGCGCGTTCCTTCAGGGAAGGGGCAAGGCATATGAACTGTTTTAACTCTGCAGGGTTTTCTTAGGAAAAACTATATTCAGTAGGAGCTTCTGCTGTTTCCAGGCCACACCATTCTCCTTGAAACATTAAAAAAAATAAAAAAAAGAGGAAAAAATACCAACAGGGGCACGGGGGAAAGCAGAAGCGAGAGCGGCCGGCGGGGCTCCCTTCGCGGCGG